TTGCCCAGGTGTGGATATGTTGACTAAAAGGGACATGGCCTGCGGTGTCTTGTCTTCTCCTAAATATATGACGTACGAGTGTTTTGTTCACTGCCTCACTCAATCAACAATGGCAGTATTTTGAGATATGGGCAATAATTTATATTATAGCCTTTTAAGCCACCACTATATACATACTATACTCTCTCTGTTTCCAATTTAATTCCTTTGCGATTCAAAATACTACAACAATTTTGGCATTGTCTCATTCCCTGTAAGGAGATATTCGTCCATCTTTCTGTGCATCACAGTTTGACATATATGCAAAAATAATTCATTAAAAACACAAAAAGAATTTCTGCACACATGTCACATTGTTATTGACAGAAATGTATGAGCTCCTACTTACATAGTAAGGATGGAAGTGAATATATGCTTCTCCAAAAGTGCTCTTATGACCCATGAACAGTTTTAAATTGTTTTGTGAAACGAAGACAGTCTGAACTACTTTTAGTTATAAAAAAAGAAGAAGCTAAACATGTCAAAAGAAAAAAAGAAAAAAAAAGGATTATCTTTAATACAAGGGTATGGAATATTGTGTCTCATAAGCCAAAGTAATACTAAAAAAAGAGGACATAACATGTGTATGTGTGGGATTTTTCTTTGAATAAAAAGGCCACCCTTGTCAGCTTACATTTTGCTCTTATCCATGGCATGCGTTTGTGAAAAGCCAAGCTATATAGAGCTACAAGATCCAAAATCCCTTGGCACATATTTTACTATTTCTTTTTATTACGATATGATGAAGAAATGATGAGGAGGGTGAGAGGAGACATGATATGACCAATTGCTGCAACGACACAAGGAGGTGTCATGAGTCACAAACTATTCATCAACGTGATCCTTGCATGACTTGAGCTCTACAATAATTACCATATATAAGCAAAATCTAAAACGCCATCAACTTTGATCAGACAAAGCTTTGTCTGATTCTCTTTTGACTTGATTTACTCCACAATATGTTTTGCTATCGACCAAGTACTGAAGATGATGAGTGACTAGACAGTCCAGTTAACTGCTTAAGGTAGCCCTTCATTTGTTCCTATCTCCTATCCTGTATGAAGAGAGGCACATAAACCTAAATTTACTATGAATAGCTACAAAGTAAGACAGTGATAGGATAAACACTGTTTAAAACCTCTAACTATTCAATGCTTTTTTTAAGTTTAATGGTTATTTAACGTGGTGTCTAAGGGCGGAGCCACTCATCGGTCACCAGTGGTGGCCCTGTCCTTCCCAAATTTATTTTCGACACATATACAATAACATGCCGTAGGATTATACTTTGGGATCCTAAATTTAAAATTCTAGCTCCGTCTCTGATGGTATTGTATCTTTGGGCTCCCCGGAGCTCAAGTTTTTGAAGTTTTGATAAATAATTATTTAACAACATTTATGTTGCTAGCTAGCCAGTACAGTACGGTACAAGAACCTGTACATATGCGTAGACCTTTCACTACACAAAGCGTACGTGTATCAGTACATTGTAGCCTTAAACCATATTTATTAATTTGTTTTTTCTCGATTTCCATTCCACCCCAACCTCCAAGCCAGCAGTAATTGAATTCATAATTTATCTTTTTTTACTGCGAATCATCCACAGAGCTTTCTGGGCTGTTGGCAAGTAGTTACTGGGCATGAGTGCAGGTGCATGTCCTTTCTCTTTTCTTTTTTGATAAGAAACAGCTGCTGCCACTCCTCTAATAAATATGCTTCAGAAATAAATGTGACCATGCATATTGGTGTTTGCACAATTATCCAACTCATTCATTTTGCCTTAGCTATAATTTTGTACACACATCATTGTTCATTGATGTCGAGAAAAAAAAGAAGCTTTTCAGGTGTGTTTATGGTTGGTTGGGCGCTGTCGCGCGGGGATGCTCTTGGGAGGGACAATTGTTGAGTGTTTTTAATTCCTTTGTAGTTAAATTTCACATCTTGGAAAAACTATTAAAATTGTAATTTGATTACTGTGGAAGATAATGCTGTAGGCATGTTTTAGAACTGCTTATGTAGGAAGCATTTATGCTCGAAGTGATTTTACTGGAAGCATGTTGTATTACAAATTCCAGCGTTTTTACTGAAGAAGCACTAGCAAGTGTTTCTCCAAAAACCGATTTTATGACTCATAAACACTTTTAAGATTTTTTTGCCAAACACCTATAGAAGTAGTTCGAAACAAATATGAACCTTGTATTTGTTGAAGAATATAAAGTTTCACATCAGAAACTTGACTAAATAAATTACCACTTATAATAAGTGGTTCCACTTCTAGTAACATCGAGGCATTTTGTGATAAAAATCCACACCTATTAGACTTTCTTTAGGCTTTCTAGGTGGTTAAGTTGGAGATAATATCGGTGTTACTAGTGGTGGGCCACAGACTCGTCTCTCTGAAACTTAACATGGTATTAGAGTGGGACCTCGACCAGACCTAGACTCCAACCCAGAGTGGCCACACCTTGATTGGGTGTGGCCATCGACCCTACCGACTAGCCACACCTTGACTCATTGGGTGCCCGACTCCGACTCAGACTATAACATATGAATCTTTGGTGTTGTTAGTGGTGGGCCACATGCCCGTCTCTCTGAAACTTAACAGTATTGTGCCGTTTGGCCTTTATGACCTCCAATTTTGCTTTATATGAACATTACTCCGAGTTTTTTTAATATACAGCGAAATTGTTGTGCATTGGTTTTAAATGTGGAGTTTGGTTCATTAAAAAAAATGTGGAGTTTGGTTAAACAATTCAAGAGACTAATATATAACACAGCTTGAATTTGAAAAATATCAATTCAATCTGTGCATAGACATCACTATTTTTGGCTTTACTTATTGTTTGAGTTTGAAAAATGGCGAGTTTGTGATATGAAGGATTTGAAAATTGCAAAATCAAGAAAACCTAACATATCTACCTATACTATTCTGGTATCATCATATCATAATTCTTTAAGAAAATGAGACAGTGACTTGCACTACGTATGAAGCTTGCTCAATAGGGTGAATTAAATGAAGAGTGAGACAGGAGATGAGGGAAAGGGAGACAGAACGAGGGAGATCTGATTATCGGTCCAAGAAGAAAGTGTGGAGATTTGGGGTCTGTTTTGTAAGATTGTGCATGAATGGTGGAAAGGCATTATTAGTTATTCACACTCTGAAGTAGGGTCCATTCCTACAAAATGGGGAATATGGGGCATTCAATCGAAGAATTGAATGAACTTTTCCTTATTATTGAATGCCCTAATTAGCTTTAGAGCTAAATAAAAGAAAATAAAAATTCTTGAAATTGATTGGTTGTAAATTTGATTTAAATACAATTCGGAGTTGTCTCCCTAACATATTGGGTTCTCAACGTTTCCCTTCTTTCTTTTAGTCGGCGACATACTCTTCTCTAGATTTGTGGTATGTTTATTAATCCGTAATTGGATTAGGTGGAATTGAATTGAGGATGAATTGAATTTAGAAGGAGTTTGATTGAGGAGAATTAGATTTCGGATTCCTAATGAAGTTGTTTACTAAATTATATGGATTGAGGGGAGTTAGATTTCGGATACTAAAATGTCCTCGTTGTTGGGTTAAAGTAGATGGTATATTTGAAAATTTGAAAATTGTGTGAGGATATAATGGGTAAAAAATATGAATTCCTAATGGGTTAATTCTTCAGGAATTAGAATACCACATTCCACCCAAGAATTTAATTCCTTCAAAATTAGGAATTGTGGGCCCCACTTACTTTTCAATTCCTTACTGTGAAGTAAACGCATGAATCCTTCATAGGTGGAATTCAATTCCTGATGAGAATTTCAATTCCTGATTAGTAAACACACTATTGATGTTGCAACAACAAATTTCGAGGCCAACAAGTCGCCGACTTCTATAAATATTTTCTTTTAGAAGTATTGAGTAGGAATTATTGTTCTATTAATAATTTTTTTTTAAAAAGAAGTAGTATATATTCACTATTAAACTTATCTTTTGGTAAATGATTCACTTTTGAACTTTGTCATGAGAAAGATAAAATCACTGTTGATTGAATTTGTCTGTATTGGGATTATGAGGGAATGTTGTCAGAGAGAAGTAGGCCAAGAAAGTCAAAGAAAACCACATGGCAATCAAAGCAGCATGCATTTATGAAATTTGTATGTCTGCTTCTTTTTTAGTTGTCTATTTTGTATGTCTTCTTGTGGCATGGAAAGCTTACGTTTTCCACAGTATTGAGAATTGTCGGTTATGGTAGTTCAATCAGTTTGGGAAGCAAAAATCTCAAGAGAATTTGGGAATGAATATAAATGTATATCCTAATTGGAAACCCCCCCAGAAAAAGAATCTGGTGATAAAATTAGGGGAAAGTCATTTAGTTGAGCTCTTTTTCCAAATGCTTTGATTCTTTTCAGAATTGGAAAATAATAAGAATATTCTTCCGAGTTGCATGCATGCATGCTCTTTACAAAACAGATGATTATGACCAATGAATCTCACTTTTATGGGCGATGTGATTAATAAATACGATAGGTACAAATTGAGTCTCATTGGAGTTAAGAAATCTTTACGTTTATCATTTTTTATCATTTATACTTATGAATTTGTATGCGTAACATTCAAATTAATCCTTTTAGAATGTTTCCTAATTTCATAACGATTTTTTAGTTTGTCAACTCAAAAATTTTCCAAGAATTTGAGCAGAGTGTCCATCACCCACACCATTTGCAAGTCCAGACAATTAGCTTTCTCTGCTTCAAGAATCCAACATATATACATGGTGTGTCTTATCCATTTTGTACACAAAGTAAATATTATATGTTGATGATGACATAATCATTCAAGTACCCCCCCCTCTCTCTCTCTCTCTCTCTCTCTCTCTCTCAGTTGTGAGTGTGTGTGTTTCTGCGAGGACTGAAAACCTACACTTGAATGCCCCTCTCAGGGAAGCACAGCATGACCACCCTCACTCCTGGTACGCCACACTATTCTCTTTTAACACCTCTCTCTCTCTCTCTCTCTCTCTCTCTCTTAACCTCACCATTATTTATACCTCCCCTGCCTTCTCAACCCCTTCACTCTCCAGAACATCAAAACCCTGCTCAAAATTTTCTATTTAAACCCACTAAACCCACTAAACCCACCACCAACCAGCTGCTCCACCACTTCAATCTCTCAAACATTAATTTATCAAAGAAATTAGGGAAACTAATTAGTAAAATGTCTCCTGCAGCAAATTCTTCATCAAGATGGTGCCCAACCCCAGAGCAACTGATGATCCTTGAGGAGATGTACAGGGCTGGCATCAGAACCCCCAACGCCTCTCAAATCCAACACATCACTGCCCAGCTCTCCCTCTATGGCAAGATTGAGGGCAAAAATGTATTTTACTGGTTCCAGAACCACAAGGCCAGGGACAGGCAGAAGCTCAGGAGGAAGCTTTGTAAGCAACTGCAGCAACAGCAACTTCTCTATCATCACCACCATAATTATCATAATTACCATAATAACCCTTATCATCATCATCATCACCAGCAGCAGCAGCAGAGCCTTCTTGGGTACCTTGATCATCTCAGCCCTCCTGCTTCTTCTTCTGCTCTTCAACAACTTTCCAACTGTCATAATTACTCATCAGCTGGCTTTCTTCCTCCTCCTCAGGTTAATTAATTATATAATTATAAATAATATATCTCTCTCATTTATTTTTTTTCCTTTTTTATTTACAGAATGATGAGATATGTTCTAGTTGGGGAAAGAGAGAATATTCTTCTTTCTTCTTTCTTCCTTCTTGTAATTATTTTACTTTATGCATGCATATATCATAGGTCTGTTTCTACCATTTGGGTTTTGAGTAATGTTTTAGCTTTAATTCTTTCAAATATAGATATTTTGTCTTATATATAGGTCTCTTCCCCCTTCCAAATTTATTTCAAAGCACTCTACTTATCATAAATACTTTACTAACACCACATTAGCATGACATAATATAGTGATTACTTTATGGAAGCCCTACAATACAAAGACCAGCACAAGTTGATTTTACAGAGAATTCTTTAGTGTGAGTGTCACACTAATAGAGAATAAAGAAATATACATATATTTATTATAATATAAATATACTGTAATACCACGTGACATTGATATGGTCACATCGAAGATTTTTATTCATAATTTCATGAATTACCTAGCCATGGAAACAAAGAGGCTTTATTAGTTTTTTTTATTTTTAGTACAAGCGATAATCTAAACTATACAAGAAAAGGTTTCTCACACACACTAATATGATGTCACGGAGGTTCGAACCTGAGACTACTTTAATTTGCAACTCAAGGCCATTTTCCATTGGTCTAGAGACTCAATTCGCATGAATTAAATTCTTATAACAACACTAAATTAATTACTGACAACTTAAGAGCAGGCCAACATGGATTAATTCCCCTCAGCCCACATGCAAGTTCAAGAAAAATACAGAAACTATATATATAAGTTATCTTATTTTGGTGCTGATTTTATTTTTATTTTGTTTGAATGCTCTCTGTTTCGGCTTTAAACTCTGTTTTTGGCTTTGAAGGTGGGAGTTGAAGATGCCTTGATGAACCACGCGTGGAAGATGGAGATCCCACAGAGGGTGGAGATGGAGAAGTCCGTGATGAGTATGTACGGCCGTGATTGGATGATGATGATGATGGAGGATATGGGCCCACCCTCTCCATGTTGCAGTACTAGTACAAGAACTACTACTACTAGACAACCCCTCAAGACGCTTCAACTCTTCCCCATCACTGCCACCAATCTCAAAGAAGAATCCTCACCCTCCTCCTCCAATCCTCTCTCTCCTCCCACCACCCCCACACCAAATTACTAAAAACCCCAAGCCAAGCCACTTCTTCAACTGCATGCATCTCTCTCTCTCTCTGGTGACTTTGTTTAGTGTGTGTCTTGGTTTCTGTTATGTGTTTTCTGGGCTCTTCTTCTTCTGTTCTGTGATATGAAAGATCTCAATTGTCTAATGAGTAGTAGTAGGTTCTGGGTCCTATAGAGGGAGGGTGGTTGCTTTCAGTTTCAGCCTATCAGCCTATCAGCCTGTCAACTTAAATATATTTATATATTTATACTTAAACCTTTCAAACAAAAAACCCCACTAGTACTGTTATTACTATTGGCAATGCTAGAAGAAGTGTATGCATTGCATGCAGCCAGCATTGGCTTTGTCTCTTGTGTTTAAGCTTAAAGCTGACATATTGCACACCCAGACCCAGACGCAGTACTTGAACTGTTGTATGTATGTATGTAGTCATGTACAAGTCAGCTTTTTAGTGTTTGGTATTTACTTGGTCTTTTGGACCTTTCGAAACAAGTCAATGCAATGCAACACATTCTGAATGCTATTATGTTTAAATTTTGAAGTACTTTTTTATTTTTATAATCTTTTTTTGTTTCGCCGTGAAAGGAAAAAACTGCATTAAGAAAATAATGATACAGTAAGGCAAACTGTATAACATGTCATGTCAGGTTAGAATGTGCCTATTTGTGAAAAATCCTTTAATAATATATGTTTTTTTATATAACAAAAAGCAATTGTCACTAAAACAACTGTCACAATCTAATCCTTAATTCAAACCCGGTTGATATTCTACTTTCAGGTGTTATAAACATTTGTAGTACGTAGTGGTGGATTCATAAATTTTCATTCTAGAGATCACCGTGTAAAAGGTTAAAAAAATTTCTATACAAAATAGACACATCGAAATGAAACGATAATATTCTAATTCATAGTTAATAGATAAAACTATACAAAATACTTATGTTCATTATCAAAGAGAATTGCATCAACTTCAAGAAATAGACACACACTGCAATAAACCAGAAATATCTCTAAGAATGTGATAATAAACCAAAAAATTAGTGCAATCCTCTTCGCCTCCCAAGGCGTCTCGTCCTATTCGACGTAAGAGCTGACATATATTAGCACAATCCTGCTCATTTTAGGGCATTTACGTAATTTTTGAGGTCCGTCACCATTTTGATTTTGGGCTTTATCTGTATTTCTTTTGGGCTCTAGCTCTCAAACTTTGGACCATTATGAGTACTGTCTTAAGGGGAGTTTTATACAAGCAAATATTTCTTCAATATGTAAGAGTTAGGCTATTCTTGTAAAACTCTTTGTGGATTGAATATCTAAGCTTTTTACCTATATTGACCTTAGGTCCCTTCATGCATTCATATCATACATGAAAAATTATTTTATGTAAAAATATTGGCTAAGTATGAAAAACGGTTTTTCAAAACAATCATTTTCTCAAGATAATTTTTGGCGGCTTTTATTCCTTACACATCAAATAAGAAAACTTGATTTTATGGGATTTTAGTATGAAATATATATTGACCTAATGAGCCCTCATTTTTAGCATAAATTGTATTTTGCACTAAAACCGATTTTTCATATTTTGATTTTGTGGGAATTTTATTTTGTTAGTATTTTTATTTGAATCCAAATGGGGGTACTTCCTTATTTACATTGTAAACTTAAGTAAATGGAGTAATATAAAATAAATGAAAGTAAAAGGACAAAGTAATGGAAATAAGGTAATCAGTACAACATTGTCTTTTTGATGTTAGGAAAATAAAAACAAAGGAAGCGTTGCGAGCAAGCAGCGCTCGCCTAACTGCTGTGCTGGTGTGCTGCACCCTCTGGAGCATTTCATCAAGCAGTTTGTGGTTACAGGGGTCAACATCTTCACCTCTAATGGTGGATTCCGAGTTTGCAGAGGTCAATTAACCCCTCTTGCCCCTACGTGGATCTACCCTTAGTAGTACTCATGTTAGGGTGTAAGAACTAGGTCTGTAGGGTATATCATAAGGTTCCATTTTAAATCAAAATTCGAATAACATAAAGTATTTACATAATGATAATAATAGACATCACATTCAAATAAATTTTTAGCTCTACAAGAGATACAATCATCAATGTAATTAGTAAATATGGTACGTGTCTTCAAATATTTCACAATACATACTCCATGAAATGAATTCAATATATTGTATGGGTTAAGTATTATTCCATTTATTTCCAAGATTAACCAGTCAAGCTTCCACAAAAACATCTCAACTCCATTAAAAATATGCTCAAGCACATCTCCTTTTAAAATAAAGTGGACCTTGAACCTTGTCAGGGGCGGCTCACCTTTTCTTTTTTAGGGTACTTGAGATCCAATCTTAATTGGTAGGTAATGGCCTTCACTGTTGTGGCGTATATATCGAGTCTCATGCCTTGATTAAGCTCAGGCATAAGACAACCACCATATTAATTGTTTCTGGGTTTGGCAACTGTCCGAATTGTCCAGGTCTCTTGATGATCAGATTCATCCCAGTCTCACATTTAGTCACGGGGACTAGAAAGACTAGCAAGATCATCTAAAACAGAAGAAACAACATAAGAAGGGAGGCCCCTCAAAGAACATACAACCGGGGTCCATAGAGTTGTTGAACTTCGCAAGCCTATCAGCAACCATATTTTTCTCCCTCTAAATGTGATTCAGCTCAATCTAATTTATCTCACCACTAGCACTGTGAGAGAGAAGTAATCTTAAATAGGAATATTTATTTCATACAACTGATAGTCTAAACTTTAGGGCCCGTTTGATAACCATTTCAATTTTAGTTTTTAGTTTTCATTTTTTGTGCTAGAATATATAGGAAAATGAGGGAGGATGGAGGAGTAACAAAAGTGAAAACAAAAACTTGAAAGTGAAAATAATTTCAAATAGATTTCTGTTTTTAGTTTTTATTTTCATTTCATTACTCCTCTTTCCCATCATTCCCTCTCATCTTCCCTCAAAATCCCATCTCCACTCTCATTCTCACTTCCATTCTCCCTCTTTTTCCTCTATACTCTAGCACACAAAATGAAAATGAAAAACTAAAATTTAAATGGTTATCAAACAAACCGTTAATTAATGGGGTCAAACTTCTCACCAACTAGCCTAATCCACGTTTGCTAATAGAAATCTAATTGAAAGAAAAAAGAAACTGCTAGTAACTAATGCATGGGAAATTGGCAATAAATACTGGATGTATAACATGCATAAAGTATATATATATATATTTTCATTGAGTAATTTGAAGGCCACGACAATCCTTGTTTGTCAGGTCACAATGTTCCAAACGACTGTGTCAGACAAGAAGACGACATACTAATACTATAATGAAGTTGAAACCAAGGGCGTGTTTGATGAAATGGACTAAACGACTCTACAAAATGATATATATCCTATGACCCCAAACAAGACAAAACAGACAGTGGCAAAAAGACATGTAATTAATTATATGTGATGGAAAGAACCTTCAATCTGAGTGGAAAGAAACCTCCCTGTCAATCAAATAATCATTCGAGTACCTTCTATGATAAACCACGATGAAGACAATGGCAATGAGAATTTACATTTATGAAAATATGTTTTTCATTCATTAAAAAAGAACAATAGGGTTAGAGTTAAATTATGTTATGTTGCTTGATTATTATTTAGAACCGTGTGATTAGATATAATCGTGTCCAAATGGGTTTAATTGATACTAACAAGAAATTTGACGTCTTGCCACATTAACTTACTAACCGGTTATCTGAATGGTTTTGAGCAGCACTAACCATTTGTTTGGGTTGACACTTCTGAACAAACTAACACCAGAAAAAAAAGATTTGTGAGATGACTCTCCATGGCTACAAGGAAGATGGAATATTGAAACCACAATTTAAGTAGGAGGTAAAAAAAATTTCAGCAAACTTTAATTAATTTGTTCTCAGTTTTTGTATATAATTAATGTATATAATTTTCCTTTTCTTCTAAATTTACAATAGTGAATAACAAGAGGAGCATGTAAAGAAAAAGAAGAGTAGTATTTCTACAAAGATTGGTGCAATGTGGACAGCAAGTTATTCTAGAAGTTCTCCTTGTGGAATTGGAAGCGGGTTGATGAATTTAGGCTAAATTCTAGGCAGAGCTGCCTTAGTGTTTTGGTAAGTATTGGACTTCCACAGTAGAAGACACCTGCAACAAACAAGAGAAACATAAACATCTCTTATGCTTAAAATGTCCAAAACTTTGTAGCTTCAAAGACTTCAACAGAAATAGCCTTACCTATTCTAGAAGATTGGTGTGTGGCAGCCAAGTCTGAAAACACCTTTCTCCAATTAGGCCTAGCAAAATGTGTTCTTATCTGCCACAGTTAAACTCAGAAATGAGATACAGAACTAGTGTGACTCCATTAACAATGCTTTGTGTGGTAATGTGGCCTAGTGAGTACCCGGCTTTCGGAGACAACATCAACTCCAGTCTTAGCATGTTGTAGTTTCTGCACCATGGCGATAAGAGCAGACCGAGCGTCTCCTTCTTCGTACACGCTGGTCAAGTAGTTGTGCATTTCTATCATATGCTGCAGCAAATGTTAGTAAATGTGGTTCATGTTACAGAAAGAATGAGCAAGTGAGGTAAAGTTGAATATCTGACTTTTAGTTTGAAACTCACATTGTGGTCACACTCTGAAATGTCATCCATGACACCTTTAAACCATTCAAAGGAAGCTTGTTCCCTTGTTACCCAATAAAAATACGCTCTTTCTGGACTCTTTCTATGAGCTGCCCTTGGATGGCCCTTTAATTGGGGTTCTGTAGATTTTTCTGAATTGCTGTGTACTGAATCCTGCATGAATGAACTAATTTGAAGTGTTAGTTACCATTTACATCACATTTCCAAAAAATTTAAGTCTTTTGGTTCTTGGCTCACAGGAGGAGAAGCAAATCTGTGGTTTATTTGGTTTATGATATCTTTTATAATGCTGATGAAGGGAGTTGCTCCAATTCCCAGACCTATGAGCAACAAGATGTCAAACTTTCTGTAGTTTTGAGCAGGGGCTCCATAAGGTCCCTTTATGAGGATCCTTGGATATCTGTCAAGAAAAGAAAAAAAGAAAAAGAAAAAAAAAAAGGATTTACTGATATATGATGCTACAGTAAAACTGTGAAGCTGTTTTAGCTAAGATTCTGCTCACCCTGCTTGATCGTGCTGAAAGTTTGAATTCGCTTTAGTTTCCATCCTAACAAGATTTCCCCTTCTAGTTTGTGTACTTTGAAGCTCACTGCAGGCCTGCAAATTTTTGATTAAATATGCAGAAGAGATAAAAGGAAAAGTGTGTTCAAGACAATTTAAAAGAAATGATTTATCAAGTAGCCTAAGAAGAGATAAAAGGAAAAGTGTGTTCAAGACAATTTAAAAGAAATGATTTATCAAGTAGCCTAAGAAAATAGACTAGTATGACTATGGTATTAGAAACCATAAATTAGAACATAAGGTCTGATAAGTATTATGGTTTAGACACAATACTACTGATGTAAATATACCACCTTTTCAAATCTGTTTCTAAGCTCCGTCGTCCAGTCTCCCAAGCTTCGTATGTGGACACTCAAGTAGTCGTCTCCCGGGGCAGAAGTGATGGTGAAGGGGTGCCTGTGTTGAGTGAAGTGTTTGAGTATAAAGATATTACAATTTCTGATCATGATCAGGAACTATATAATTTCTTACCATTCAAAACTTGATATATCAGGACACTTCACAAAGAGGTACATTCCACTTTTGTACCTGAATCCAGGAGGTTTGCTCATGTACAGAGCCAGAACATTTCCTGTATATATTACTGCCTGAAGTATGACAGCAACATGATGAATTGGATCAAGTTTTTGAGATATTTTAGTGAAAGATAAAAGTTTCTGGTACTGACCTTAATAACAGAGACAGGGTGATTAATTTCGTTAATGAGTATAATAAGTCTCTCAGTAGTGTACAGTAATACTGGAGCCATGACATACATCCATGTCTGCAAGAAAATATATAAAATATTTTATAATGATGTCACAGATGACAGGTCTATTTACAATTCTCTAGTTCATTGATCACAATCAAGTAGCATACATACCGTCTTCTTGCGCCAGTCATCCGTGAAAATTAGGAAGTAACCATGTGTAACAAATAGCATATATACCATTGCCAGCAAATGATGTGCATACCAGAAGGAATTGAACCCTGACAAAAGGTGGAGCGGCCATGGTAACTTGACATTTTTTCTCATTGCGTTCGTTGCAAGTACAAAGGAAAAAGCCATAAGAATAACCATCAGAATCCCGCTTATGCCTACAATACTGTTAACCAAGTCCATGTAAGTTGGCTGCAAATAAAAGAAATATTTCCCCGCAATGTCGAAGAATTGATCTTGTGGGTATGATATCAATCTTGGGAAGTCACAAGTTAGGTGCAAGACTGCATGTATACTTGTCCCAATTGTTATTCCAAGTGCAATCAACTTATGGAAATTGATATTGTTATCAAAAGGGATTAAGTGGCTGAGAAATGTCGATCGCAGCTTGGTAAGAGTTCCCCTACAAACTGGAATGAGAACAAGAGCCATGTTGAACTTTAGAGTCTCAGCAGAACCCTTTGCAAAGCAGAGGCATTGACCCATGATTTTGTATAATCCCTTCTGCTGGTATTGCTTGTATTTCCAAGTAAAGAGGCCTATGTTTACTGCTAACCACAATGTGACAATCCATATTTTCTTCCAGTTTTCGTGTAGATGTTCTGCCGTTGTAGATAGGAATTTGCTAACAGGAGTTCTGTATCTTCTGGGGATCATGGCTCTTGTGAGGGTTTGGGTTCTCTTGCCCAACTTTTGATTTTCTTCGGACACAACCATTTCCCTCAGTAGAGTTTCTAACTGCCACATCTGTGAAAATAGAATATAAGAAGATGATGAAGGTGAGAAGCAATAGCTAAAGCCATGAACAAGCTATTATCTTCACCTCTATATATCCAAGGTGGTCAGGGTCAAGCTCTTCCATGATCAAAGCTGCATATGACTCTGCTTGCTGCTTAAATTTCGCCAGCTTGTTCGCGGAGGCACTCAAAACTATAACCTTTTCCATAAGAAATTTTGGAAATCTGATTCACAAACATGGAAAACAAATGATAAAGAACATGTAACGGGGTCTCTGTGCTCACCTCTGTTACCTCTTCCTCTGAGAGCATCCCATCACCATTCTTGTCACACCTAACAAAATCATCAGCTTTGCTTATTCTAGTTTGTGTTGAAGCATGTGAGCTTAAGAAAGAAGAGTTTTCCTTACATGTCAAAGAATATCTGAAGTCTAGCTTCCATATCTTCATTTGTCATGTCTTCCCAAAACAACCTCAATTCTTCAAGAGTTATCCCATCTTCTGCACATATTTTTCTCCTCCTGGCCAATGCATCATACAATTCGCTGGCAAAGTCCTTCGAATCTCCTCCCATTCCTACGAAACAAAAGCTTCTAAAACCTCACATACATTGTGTTCCATTGTTCCATTTCATAATACACAAAAAACAACTTACAAAGGGGTAAATAAGCATAAGACTCAATTACCAATGCAGGCTCCAAATTTGTCCTTAGAGAGCCTACCATCACCTCCATATTGATTAAATCGCCTCTCAATCTGCTTCCATGCCTCCCCTTCTTTCCCCGTAGCGGTCCTATCGAGAAATCGCAGGCTCTTAATCCCTTCTTTCCCTCCTGGTTCCACCCTAAGTCCCATGCCACCATGACTGCTTCCTTGAGCCCCATTTCTCTTCCTTACACTGCTGTTGTTCCTCTTCAATGTAGTCTCATTGGAACTTTTGCTTGCATTGCCTCCTGTGTCATTGCTATTTAAAGGCACATCCACCATGGGGTCGATATCAATTCTTTGAAGCATCCATTTGTTTGGGTCTTGCTGGTCATCATTTTCTGAGAGGTTCATTGCCAACATGAAATTATTACCTTCAAACATTTACATGTCCCTTAAGATCTGAGTAAAGGGAAAGACAGAGAAAGAAGGCGCTGGTGGGTTGTGGGGAGAAGACAGAGCTGAAAGGGTCAAAGGGGTGTTGCAAGGAGGGAAGAGTAATTGAAGGTTCAGTTCGTTTTGTTAGCTCTTTGTCTAATAATAGGAAATCAATATCAATTAGTAATTGAAGGTTCAGTTCGTTATATTCAGGCAAATTAAAATTTTCTCACAATCTTTCATAAATTGGTGTCATTGTTTGTAAAATTGTGATAGTGAATTACATATTAATATTTAAAGCGTAAAGCCGGGTGGCTATACTTGTGAAATATATTTGCATATTTTAAGCGTATAGCCGGGCGGCTATACTACACAAATTAGTTTTTACTTATTGCCTTTTTTAATTACTTTAATTTGTAATTATGTTTTAATTATTATTTATTGAGTGAATAATTAGTACTTAAATATTCTACTAATTTAATAAATTACTTATTAAATAGTAATAAATTATTTTAAATGCTTTTGTGTACTTTAATTTTTTTTTAATACAAAATTAGTTTGTTTAGTTTAATATTTGCACTTAAGTAATATCTTAGCCTTATTTAATTATATTAATTATTAATTATTAATTATGTTTTAATTATTCTTTATTTAATTAATAATTAGTTTTTAAGTATTTTAATTAATTTCGTAAAGAACTTAATAAAATATAATTTATTATATTTACATATCTTAAAGATAACTTATACTTCTTTTGCCTATTTTAATTCAATTTATATTCAGGCAAATTAAAATTCTATCACAATATTTCATAAATTGGTGTTATTGTTTGTAAAATTGTGATAGTGAATTACATATTAATATTTAACGAGTATAGCCGAGCGGCTATAGGCGTGAAATATATTTGCATATTTTAAAGGTATAGCCGTTTGTCTATACTGTTAACATATATTAATATTTAAAGCGTATAGCCGACCGGCTATACTGTTTAAATATACGAATAGTTTAAACGCATGGGCTTGCGGCTATACCCACGAAATATATTTGAATATTTCAGAAGTATAGCCGCGCGGCTATACTGCACAAAATGGTTTTTACTTATTTCCTTTTTTAATTACTTTAATTTGTAATTATTATTTAAAAATTTTACTAAATTCATAATTTAATCAATAAATAGTAATTCATTATTTTAAATGATTTTTTTTATTTTTTTATTTTTGATACAAAATTAGTTTGTTTAGTTTAATATTTGCACTTAAGTAATATTTTAGCCTTATTTAATTATATTAATTATTAATTATTTAATGAATAATTAGTTTTTAAGTATTTTAATTAATTTCATAAATTACTTAATAAATTATAATTTATTTTAAAGCTAACTTATATTCTCTTGCCTATTTTAATTGGATTTATATTATTCAAGCAAATTACAATTGTATCACAACCTTTCATAAATTGGTGTGATTGTTTGTAAAATTGTGATAGCTCTTACATATTAAAATTTAAAGAGTATAGCCAAGCGCCTATACTCTTTAAATATACGAATATTTTAAACGTATAGCTAGTCAGCTATACTCGTGAAATATATTTGTGCACTTTAATTTTACACAAAATTAGTTTGTTTAGTTTAATATTTGCACTTAAGTAATATCTTAGCCTTATTTAATTATATTAATTATTAAATATGTTTTATTATGTATATATAATCCCAAACCAATCAAAAGGTGAGTCCCAAGTGCCACTCCACTGGGCCCACCTTCCAAATGGCACGTGTGGGAAGACTCCCCACTTATAAGGAGTAGATACTTTGTCTTCTTTTCCAATGTATGACTCAAGTTCATGTATTTCATTCAAACTCTATCAAGTAGTTGATATTATCCAATCACGTTGTCACTTGGATTTAGGGTTTGGAGGCTAAAATCCATTTTTAGAATACTAAGGACTCGATTAGGCTCGAACATGTAAATAATAAAAGTCAAACGGATCCTAATAGAGCAGAGGATCCGAACCCATAAAAAATTGCACAACATTTAAAGTTATAATTATTTAAGTATATAAAAAAAAAGTATAATAACAACGTATTAAGGTAACAATTGACTTAATCCAATATCAAGAGACGTTTAATTTAAAGGCATTTCTCTGTAATGGTTTAATAAATAATTAAATATGAGTGATGAATGTTTGCAAGGTTACGTGGACTCTTCACTTCATCTTGTTGCTTACACATGTGTCACTAAGACATGACACAAGTAAGTGGTAAGGGGCACTAGGAATTGCAGATGCATAGAAGACCTTCGGAGACGGACCCAGGATTTCAAATTGGGATGGGTTAAATTTACATTATGCACAAACCTAGAAAACTCGACTCGAGTGAATTTCATTGATCACAAAAAAAAAATATCCTAATCAAGAGGACATAATGAGTTTTACCCCATAAAATTCATCTAGTACATGTCTCTTTTTGGTTTTCTACGAGTAGGAGTGTGTGAAGTGAAGAATATGTTATTTTCTATCAAAAAAGAAAATAGGGGTATTTTCAACCAAAAAATGGGGGCTTAGCCTTTGGCCCTTTTTGTACCAAAAATAAATAAAAAAGGAGAAGGTTTAGGGTTGAGTAACTGACCCTGACTTATATCTTAATATTTCTAGTGCAAAATTGCAAAAGAAAAAAAAAAGAAAAAAAAGAAGAAGAAAAAGTCCAAAAACAAAACAAAATGAATGACCAAGTTCATGGGCTGTAGGTCCGTCCCTCGGAGAAAGACAACCCTGATATACTTGGGCATCAACCCTCGTCTGACTCCCATACCCAAGTTCATGTAACATATGTGATTGCACGAACTCTTTAGGAAATGAGTTCTATTTGCATAGTTAGTTGATGAACTACTTTTTATGTATATGAGAAGCATAAAATTCACATCAGAAATCTGATGACAGAGGATTTTTACTTCTAAGGTCCTAATAAGGTCTTTTGTTTTTCATGATAGGCACAATAGATTGATATGGTACTTGCTGATTATTGAGCTTGTTTTTCAACATGTTGTGTGTCTGACATTTCTATTAGTTATTAACATGTTATCGTGGCCTGCATATCTTCCATTCTGCAGGGGTTGATCTCATTCATCAAGGCTGGAGTAGGAAGGGTTCAAGTGTATCACAACAAGGTTATCGCAGCTATCTTGCGTGAAAAAGGCATGTATCTAGAAACATCTATATACCGGCCTATTATTCAGGTTTTGATGTTGTTCTTAATCATGTCTTTAAACATGAGATGTACGATTTGTGCACATCAGGTTCTTCTTTTGGCCTTTTCTGACTTTTTGTGCTCATCAGTTTACAGAGAAGGTTGCACCAATGCTTCCCAAAAAGTATTCCTAGCTAGGGTAAAGCATCAAAACCAGGTTTTTTCTTTTTTTTTTTCTTTTGAGTGCTTATGCATATGGCATTGATGCTAGTGGTTCTTAGTGTCTTTCACTCTATTTTCATGTTCTTGCTTAATCAAATATTCATCGGCATGCGAAGTGCGATATGTAGGTAGAAGATATGTTGAGGAAGGTAAAAGTTGCATGTGTCCAGTAATTGTCCTGTAGGTGGTCCATTCGCTCATCCATCCACGAAATCCAGTTCAGTTGTTCCAAATATATATCAGAAGCCTATAATTCCTCATATTCATATTTGTATCAACTGTTTCTCAGTTGCCTATCATATGTCACTACTAATTCGCGAGCCCAAAAGAGCAGAGAACAGTACAAAAGCACCAGCCAGAAAACCAACAGGAACAAATCTAGCTAAAACCAGTATAATATAGCATGAAGATCAGGTTCCTGCGCCAAAAATTAAAACGTCAAAAGCCAACAAAAAGGCATATAGCCCACAAAAGGCATTACGACTGCATTCAGCATAAAGCCCACATTAAACATAAAATACGTAAAATAAAATCAGTGCTTGCAAAATTCACAATGATAAAGGTTTAACTATTTTAAGGGCTATCTTTGAGGAATATGGGTTTGAAGTTTGGTATGTCTCAACCATAATTTATAGTCTTACTAATCTCCATGCATGTACTTTAAATATTCGAATCCTCCAAAATTTGGATTCTTGCTGTGTAAAGTTGGTTATGCGTAGGGTGTTAGAGAAGAACTATTGGTTAAGTAATCTCTTTGTTTTGCTTATCCCAATACCCTTTTTGTGGATTTCGGAACCCGAATTCTGCTATTCTGCCTTGACCTTTGTACAAAAATCGAAGAGGGGCGCTGGGTGGAGGGTGGCTGTGGGGGAAGAAATCAAGAGAGAGAGAGAGAGAGAGATATATATATATATATATATATATATATATATATATATATATATATATATATATATATATATATATATATATATATATATATATATATATATATATATATATATATATATATATATATATATATATATATATATATATATATATATATATATATATATATATATATATATATATATATATATATATATATATATATATATATATATATATATATATATATATATATATATATATATATATATATATATATATATATATATATATATATATATATATATATATATATATATATATATATATATATATATATATATATATATATATATATATATATATATATATATATATATATATATATATATATATATATATATATATATATATATATATATATATATATATATATATATATATATCTCTCTCTCTCTCTCTCTCTTGATTTCTTCCCCCACAGCCACCCTCCACCCAGCGCCCCTCTTCGATTTTTGTACAAAGGTCAAGGCAGAATAGCAGAATTCGGGTTCCGAAATCCACAAAAAGGGTATTGGGGAGGGGGGAGGAGGAGGGAATATGGGTTGGGGTTCTGGGTTCATTGGGGGTTGGAGGCCGGTGGTCATGGGGGAAAAGAAAATCGAAGGGGAGGGGGCACTAGGTGAAGGGCGGCTGTGGGTTGCCCTCTTTGCTCTCTCTTCCTTTCATCTGAATCTTGAGTATGCAGGCAAGCTTCCATGTTCATGATAGAGGGAGAGGCTAAATCTGGGTTGAGGGGGAGAAGAAATTTGGGGAAGAAATCTGGATAGAGGGAGAGGAGAGAGAGAGAGATTTATTTGTAATACAAAAATACCATTTTACCCTTGCATTTAACAGAAAAGATAACAAAATTGACGATAGGACCATTTATTCTAACGAAATTGAAGTTGAAGGACCACGAGAATGATTTTGGAAATTGAGGGACAAAAATGCGAATCGGGTCAAAGTTCAAGGACAATTAGACCTAAAAACCCGAAAAAAAATTAAATAAATAAAAGAACGAATTAGTACGTTGTAGTATCTTCACTTTTATGTTCTATTTTTTAGTGTGTATATAAGGCAAATTTAGCCCACCCAATTTTATAATTTTAGATTCGTCTCTGATTGATCCACATATGAATTTGGTTCATCTTCTTCATTATCTACCATTCTGTTATTATTATAGTGATTATATTCTTCAAATATTAATATATTTTAAAAATATAACTACGATTATACTTTAAAAATATTCAAATGTAGGTGCGCGGCTCGTTAATTATGTTACTACGCCGGGCTCACATTACAGCGGCAAAGTCCCTGCATGCAGTTTTATGAGTTTATCCATCTGCAAATTAAAAAGAAAAAACGATAACCAGACGACGTCGTAAGAGGCAAGTGGGTCACGGATGCAAAAAAAGGGGCCCGGCCGGGAATTTTACAAAACTTGGGCCCGCCCCTCAAGCCAGGCATGAAAGAAGACCATGACTCGCAAGTCGCAACGGTTACTTGACTCACTGAGTGAACTCGCTCTCCCTCTGTTGGCTGCTGTTGCTTTCCTTCCTCTTCTCTTTCTTTTCTCTACCTCTGCGCTGCACACACACGCTTACGCTTTTCTCTTTCCCGCTCGGTGCCCATTTTCGTCTTTTCGCTCTCCATCTTCCTCCTCGCAAAATCAGACGGCGCACTTTCCTCCACGTCACCATCGTCTTCTTCATCCCCACTGCGACCTCTCCTACACACACATACATCTATAATAATTTTATTATATATTTACATAAAATAACCGCTTCGTCTTTTACCTCTAGCCTTAGGGTTTCTCTCATCTTCACCCAAACACAATCTCTCTTTCCTCTCTCCCCCGCTCGCTCTACGAACCTTCAAATTCTCGAGCCCTTCATGTCTCAGACTTAGTGCTCTGCTGGTCAATTTCGCCATTGAAGCTTGTTCCAGGTATTCTACTATTCTTCGTTCAAATCTCAGTCCTTGTAATTTTGTTTATATTAGGTTAAGTTTTAGTTTCGTTTGCGAATCTCGTTGCTTTTGCTTCGATTTTTATATTTTTTTCGTTTTGGTAGTCACAAATTTTGAGGTTTTCGTTTTTTGTTGTTTGAATTAGGGTTTTTTATTCGGTGATGGTTTGAAATTTGGGGATTCGGTGAATTTGGAGGTGGTTCTAGTGTAAAATTGTGAATCTGTTTGCTTTTGGCGGGTTGGGTTTTGGTTGTTAGAATTCATGGCTATTGAGAAGAACAACTTCAAGGTTTCGAGGTTTGATTCAGAGTTTTCTCCCGGTAGTAGGAAGAGTATGTCTAGTGACGAGGATGAGCTACAACAGCGTAGCTCTGCTGCTGAATCTGATGATGATGATGAATTTGATGATGCGGACTCGGGGGCGGGGTCTGATGACTTTGATTTGTTGGAATTGGGGGAAACTGGTGTGGAGTTTTGCCAAGTTGGGAGTCAGACTTGCAGCATTCCTTTTGAGCTGTATGATATTCCAAGTCTTGAAGATATACTGTCAGTGGATGTATGGAATGAGTGCTTGAGTGAGGAGGAGCAGTTTGGCCTCACTAAGTATCTGCCTGATTTGGACCAGGAGACCTTTATGATTACCTTGAAAGAGCTTTTTACAGGTTGTAACTTCCATTTTGGGAGCCCTGTTAAGAAGTTGTTTGATATGTTGAAGGGAGGTTTGTGTGAGCCGAGAGTTGCTCTTTACCGGGAGGGTTTGAATTTCTTTCAGAAGCGGCAACACTATAATATTTTGAGGAAGCATCAGAATAATATGGTTAGTAATCTCTGTCAGATAAGGGATGCTTGGCTTAATTGCAAGGGATATAGTATTGAGGAGAGGCTCCGGGTGTTGAATATTATGAGAATCCAGAAGAGTTTGATGGGTGAGAAGATGGAAGATATGGAGACTGACTCCTCAGAAAGGGAGTCGGGTGAAGGCTTACAGATCAACAAGATCAAGGACAGGAAAGTTGCACAGAAAATCGCTCGTTATTCTCCATACGGGGTGGGTACAAATGTGGATTTTGCATCAAGAGGGCGGTCATCGGCTATGGAACTGGCAAAATATGGAAAGCAGAATCCAAAAGGTATACTGAAGATGGCTGGGTCGAAGACTTCTTCAGCAAAAGAACTAGCAAGCCATTCTGGACCATACAGTTCAGCAGTCACTCTTCCTCAGCAGATTAAGGCCGGAGGGTATGATTCCAGGGCAACACTCAGAATGAGGGATCAGTTGATAAGTGGTGATGATGTTGAAGACACAACATATGGAATTGGTGTCCAGCGAGATAGAAGTGTGACTCGTAGTAGCTTGATGGACAAGTCTGGTGTTTTCAAAGTGGGAAAGAAGCTGGACCTATCAAGAGGTGATGAATTAATCACTGACACCTTGCTGGGTGTGCCTGTCTCCTCAAAGACTGATGTACATGCCTATGGTAGGAACCGCAATGCAAACCTTTTGTCAGAGTCAAAGGTAATAACAGCAAAACCTCCTAACTTGAGGACCCCCTATGATTTTGGTAAAAAGGCCAAGTATCCAGAAAATGTTCAGCAATTTACAGTTGGGGATCAGATGAAGTCCTTGAAAAGCAGACTTCCACAACCACCACTAAGAGGAGATCGAGCTGACTCGTCAGATCGCGCAGAACTATTCTGGCATAACAGGAATGAAGGGGAGACTTTTCCTATGGATTCACCCTTAAGAGCGGATGACTGGAATGTTAGGAGCAAGAAATGGAAGATTGGGAGGGAGTCTCCTGATTTAAATTACAAATCATATAGAGCTTCCCCACCACAGATGAATGATAGATTTTTGTCTTCTGAATTTAGAGCAAAACCATTTCAAGAGAAGATAAGAGGGAATAGAGTACAAAATGGAGGATCAGACATGGTGGCATTGAAAAGTAATAGAATGTTTGTTAAAAATGAAGATACAGAATCAGACTCATCAGAGCAATTTGAGGATGATGAGGATAGCAACCCTTTGTTGAGGAGTAAGCTGGCTTATCCTAGTGGTGTTATGGAGGCTTCACCATCTTCTTTGTTGAAGCCTGCTCTAGATGCAAAAAGAGGCAAATATGTGAAGAAAGAGGCGAAAGATAGTTTACGGGCCCTTGATGGGATCAATTACCCCTCCAACAAGATGGGTGGTTTTGTTGAACATGGACATATGCGTAGTCTAGAAACCTATACTGCCAAAGCAAAACAAAAGGGTAAGATGCGAGACAATAGTCCCATGCATAATTCTTCGACCAGAGTTTTGGAAGAACGCTATATCTCGGGCTTGGGTAAATTTCATGATGAGGATGATGATTATGATGAACAGAAACAAATCTACAAATTGGGCAAGAATGCCCAATTTGAAGGGGAAGCTGGTGAAAGGTTGCACATACCTTCATGGAAGACCTACCCTACTACGGGAAAGCAGAAAAGAGAAGTTGGCCATGATCATTCTGTACCACAGTCTCGTTATTTTGTTGATGAGGAGGATGACTCACTTGAAATGCGATCGCTAGCTAATGGTAGTGGACATGGTAGATTCAGGAAGAAAGGTCAGAACACTGAAGCATATGTGAGTGATCGCCATGAACGAATTGAGGTCCCACTATTAGGGTGCAATTTGATGACAAAGAAGCGGAAAGGTAAGGAGGATTCAGACACTGGGAGAGGAGATGACGATGGTGACTTACAGTCTAACCATTTGCAACGTAGTGTTGATTCCAATTCCTTGAAAAAAAAGGCAAAGAGGAAGGTGGAGAATGACGTCAGCTCAGATGTAGAAATTTCTGATCCACCAATTACAGAAATGGGAGCAACAGATATGGAGCCGGAAACCAAGCCCCAGAAAAAACCATTTATTCCAATTACACCTACGGTTCATACTGGCTTCTCATTCTCGATTGTACATCTTCTTTCAGCTGTTCGCTTGGCAATGATCACTCCACTTTCGGAAGATGCTTTTGATGTTGGGGGACCTATAGATGAGCAGAACAAAAATCACGAGGGTTGTGTAAATGGGGTTCTTTCTCGTCAAAAGGTGGATGCCAATAACTCAGAGCTTGCTGGAGAAGTGAATATGCCTTCTCTAACAGTTCAGGAGATTGTGAACCGTGTTAGATCGAATCCAGGAGATCCTTGTATTCTTGAGACACAAGAGCCACTTCAGGATCTGGTGAGAGGAGTTCTAAAGATATTTTCTTCAAAAACAGCACCTTTAGGAGCAAAGGGTTGGAAGACACTGGCCGCCTATGAAAAAGCTACAAAAAGCTGGGCATGGACTGGTCCAGTTTCTCATGGTTCATCAGATCATGAAACCAGTGATGAGGTGACATCTCCTGAAGCGTGGGGTCTTCCTCACAAAATGCTTGTCAAGTTGGTTGATTCGTTTGCTAATTGGCTCAAATGTGGGCAAGAGACCCTTCAACAAATCGGAATTCTTCCGGAACCGCCCTTGGAGTTGATGCAGCTCAACCTGGATGAGAAAGAACGGTTCAGGGACCTAAGAGCTCAAAAGAGTCTTAACACCATTAACCCAAGTTCTGAAGAAGTGAGAGCTTATTTCCGTAAGGAGGAAGTTCTCAGGTATTCAATTCCAGACAGGGCCTTCTCTTACACAGCAGCTGATGGTAAAAAATCCATTGTTGCCCCATTAAGAAGGTGTGGCGGTAAGCCAACATCAAAAGCTCGAGATCACTTTATGCTGAAACGTGATCGACCACCACATGTTACAATTCTTTGTCTTGTGAGAGATGCAGCTGCAAGATTGCCTGGAAGTATTGGCACCAGAGCAGATGTTTGTACTTTGATAAGAGATTCTCAGTACATTGTTGAAGACGTCTCTGATGCCCAAGTTAATCAAGTTGTTAGTGGAGCCCTGGACCGTTTGCATTATGAGCGTGATCCTTGTGTGCAATTTGATGGGGAAAGAAAATTATGGGTCTATTTGCATAGAGAAAGAGAAGAAGAAGATTTTGAAGATGACGGTACTTCATCTACAAAGAAATGGAAGAGGCAGAAAAAGGATTCTGCCGAGCAACCTGACCAAGGAGCAGTAACAGTGGCTTATCATGGGACTGGGGAACAAGCTGGATATGATTTGTGCTCTGATCTCAATGTTGAGCCATCATCATGTTTGGATGATGTGAGGCAAGAAGTTGAGGAGGATAATGTTGATACCAATCACGGGTCTGAACAAGATGAAATGCACCAAGATGATCCAATTCTTTGGGAGGAGGGTCTGGGCTTAAATCCAATGCGAGAAAACAAATTGCTATGTCAGGAAAATTCCACGAATGAAGATTTTGATGATGAAACGTTTGGGAGAGAAAGGACAGTTGGGCTCTTGAGTGCAAGCTTACTATGAGGTCTTCTTCAGGTAGTTGTCAATAGCATTATTCACTCTCCGATATGCAGTTGCTCTTCTTTGTGTTTTGGTGTTGGAAATTTACGCTTTTAAATTGAATTGTTTATTTTTCATATTCTTGCATACTTATGTCAGATCACATGACTAATAATGGAACTGTGGCTTCCTGGTAGTAGCATTGTAAAAATCAGCTAATGGTGCACTTCTAGTCATGTTTTTTTCCCCACCTATTTTGGGTCCGATTGATTTTAGCGTTCACCATTTCCGTCCCTTCTCCTGTATTATTAATTTTTTCACACGTCTTTATGGTTTTTTTATTTATTTAAAATATGATCAAAGTATGTTATGCAATATAAGTTGAAAGTTCATTGTCATATAAAGATGTCTTTTCTCCTTTGTAAGAAGTAATCTGAAATAGGGATCTTGAGTTTAACAGTTACATCAATAGAGGATGTAACCCTAATTTCTTTTGACTTTTGTCTTTCCATGTTATCAAGTGATATGCTCTATATTGGGGGGAAAAAACGAAAATGTACATCTTTATGATAGATGGAAGGATTACATTAGATAGTTTAAATTCGAAGCCTTTCAGTCAAGAAGCATGAGGGTGATAACTTCAAATACAGAAACTGGCACCCTTTAACCTTGAAATGTTAAAATCTAATATATTCTAAGGTTTCATGTATACATTTGCTGTACTTTGGCATCCGCCCTGTGGGTTTCTGACAGAGTAGAAAATTGATATGTTTTGCAGGCATCAGATCGCCTTGTCGTTCCCAAGTCAAGGAGTGTGTTATACATTGAAGGTGCAGTATTTTTGCATATATATATATATTGATTCTATCAGGAAATGTAGAATAGAAATTTAGTCTTGTTTGAGGCTCATCATGGGTTGATACAGGTGGATATCTATATATAGTTCTGCCTTTCATAAATAAATTTTTTTGGTTTTTATATGTAGATTATGCTAAAAAAAGGAAAAAGAAAAGTAGTTCATAATGTAGATTGAGCAATATGGCCGATCCAATATTTGGGTTGTTTATGCATATGGTTTAGATTGCAGGCATAATATCTCCATGGGGTTTCTTTGGTTTCTTTTCATTTTGCGAAATGACCAAAAACTCTCTTCATTGGAGAACCTCGTATTTATTAACGGCCAAATGAATAATTCCACAATATTGTGTCCATTTCCAAGGTTTCCCAACCATTCTTTGCTTTTTGGCAAATAGAAGCTCTGGTAAAAATTTGATCGACTGATGAATAAAAGAACCATAGGCAAATCAATTAAACCAAGTCTCAACTTCGGATGCTCCTGACCAGAAAAGCTAGACTCAAAATGAAACACAATGTAACTTTGCTTCACCACCGAAGGACAAAAGGGCGCGTTTTGACTGATTTTGGATAGGTCAATAATAATTTCTATGGAAAATCACTTCTCCATATAATCACTTCAATAAGTACGTTTGAGGTGCTTCTACCCATAAATGATTCTGTTCCATCTCGAATCACTCCCAAATGAGTATTCAGACCCAATCAAGCCATGTCCTTCGCAAAATTATTACAAATCAAAAAAATTGAAAAGAAGTTGTAGAAGGCCCCTTAATCAAAGGCTGGTTTTTGCCGCTGAAAAATCTGATTATATCAGTCCAAATACCCTGCTTCTCTCTAATAAATTTAGCAACCTTAAAAGAATAACATAGAAATTTCTCTATCATGATCACAGGATATCCCCCAATGATACCTTTATATAACCAAGTCTGTATACCGCAAACTAACAAAAACATGCAGAGTCAGTCAATTGCACAATGTTTGTGTGAAAGAAACTAAAAAAGACCTGCGTACAAAAAAACAAGCCAATTGCTTCAAAGATGTTACGATTATCAGAAAAGTTATATCCACTACTCAACATTGTCCCATGATGGATTAAGAGATAACAGATATAACACATCCATGGTTGCCCGAGGTGGAAGAGCTTCAACGTTTATTGGGATGGTCAGAAGATCTGTTCAACTTTAACTGAGGCAAATTAAGTTCATAATTCTCTTTTTGCATCAATGGCAACAATGCAGGATCTACTTTATCTTTACACAATAGATCAACTATCAATTCTGTAGTCCATGCATCTGCTGAGAAACCCTTCTCCACCATTTGTTGAATAAGTTCCATCGCCCTAACTGTCTCATTGTTATTGATGAACCCTCGAATAATTATGTTATACGTATAATCATTTGGAGAACAACGTTTCTCTTCCATTTCGATAAGCAGCTTTTCTGCTTCACTTGTTAGGCCCCCAACACATAGTCCATAAATCATTATGTTATATGCCCTCGCATCTGGTTGAAGTCCTTTTGATGATAACCCACGAAAGAGAAACCTTGCAGATTCAATTTTCCCAGCTAGGCACAAACCTGCAATAAGAATAGTGTAAATCACAATATTTACATTCAACTTCTTGCCTTCCATCTCTCTAAACAATTGGATTGCTGTAGAAAGTTGTCCATTTTTACACAACCCATCCAGTAGAATAGTATACGTTTGAACATCTGGAAGTTGGCCACAAGCTTGCATCTCTGAGAACAACTGTTGTGCATCACCTAATTTCCCCACTTTGCAACAACCGTCGACAACAGTGCTATAAGTAACGATATCTGGAACCAGTCTATTACAAGTCATTTCCCGAAGTAGCATCATGGCCTCATCCATCATCTTATGCTTACAATATCCATTTATCAATGTGTTGTAACTAACAACATCAACCATCGAGCCCTTGCTAAGCATTAGTTTAAAAACTTCTCTAGCCTTGCTCATTTCTCCTCGCAAACAGTAACCATCCACAAGTGAATTGTATGTAAAGGTATTAGGTTGAATATCCCTTTCAATCATCATTTCGACCACGCCTTCTGCTTCTCCAACCATCCCCTCCTTACAAAGTGTGTCTACCAAGACATTGAACATGCACACATTTGGAAAGATGTTTTTACTCACCATTTCATTCAACAACCTTGTAGCTTCTTTCCACTCGCCTAATTTGCAAACTCCATGAATCAAGGATGTATAGGTAATGACATCTGGGGCAATACCCTTGCTCATCATTTCTGAGAAGAGGTTTAATGCATCATCAACTAGTGTATCCTCACAAAGACTGTCAATGATTGTGTTATAGACAACTAGGTTAGGCTTGCAAGCTCCTTCCTCCATCTTCCTAAGCAACTGAATAGCAGCACTATTGTTACCTTTCATGCAAAAGCCCTTTACTAGTGTGCCGTAAGTAACCACATTAGGCTGACAATTACCTCCCTCAATCATTTTGTTGAAAATTCCTGCCGCCTCCGCCACTCTATTCTCGAGAAGAAAGCCGTTGATTAGAGTGGTGAAGGTAAAGACATCTGGTTCAAGACCAAGTTTGAAGAATTTTCCCAATACAGATAAACTAAACCCCATTTGGTTTAGATGACAATAACAATT